TGAGCTGACCTACATCTTGGTGAGTATCCATCAGTTCCACTGATGAGGACGGAATGATGGAATGATAAATAAGACAGAAAGTTAGCTGTGAGACAGGTTAAGCACACAATTTTCAGAGAATGCGTAAGGAGATGGACTGGAAATGGGGGAAACTGAGGCTCTGCCTTAGGCAAGGAAGCCATCTGGTGACCTTGGGACAGTCGTTCCCCTCTCTGCTCAAATCAGTGTCAGGCTCTGTTGTGACAGCCAGCCGATGAACAAAGCCCCTCGTTGTGTCACGCGTTGAGAGGTTCGGTCTTAGACTGAACGAATGAATGCACAAGGGGACTCAACAATCGAGAAGGATAGGCCCTAGGGAACAACAACAATGCGTCTTTCAGCTCCTCAAATAAGTAACTTCAGAGAGATGTGAATAAAACTCCCAAGTGAGAAAGAGCAAATTGTAATAACTTAGAAATCAATATTTCTCAGTCCATGAGGTCAACAAGATTTTCATCCTTCACAAAGAGAGAAGGAGGGAAGAAGATAAGAAAGGCAAAAAGGTAAAACAGAGAAGGAAGGGAGGGAGGGAGGAAAAGGAAGGAAGGAAGGAAGGAAGGAAGGAAGGAAGGAAGGAAGGAAGGAAGGAAGGAAGGAAGGAAGGAAGACAAGAAAGGCAAAACGTTAAAAAGGAGGGAGGGAGGGAAGGCAGGAAGGAAGGAAGGAGAGAGAATGAGGGGAAGGAAGGAGAGAGAATGAAAGGAAAGAAGAAATGGGAAGGAAGGAAGGAAGGAAGGAAGGAAGGAAGGAAGGAAGGAAGGAAGGAAAGAAGAATGGAAAGAAGGAAGAGATGAGGAGGAAGGGAGAGATGAGGAGAGGGAAAGAAGAAAGGAAGTAAGGGAGAGAGAGAGAATGGAAGGGAGAGATGAGGAAGGGAGGGAGGAAAGGAAAGGAAAGGAGGGAGGAAAGAAAGGAAGGAAGGAAGGAAGGAAGGAAGGAAGGAAGGAAGGAAGGAAGGAAGGAAGGAAGGAAGGAAGGAAGGAAGGAAGGAAGGTAGGTTACGTTCAGAGTGGACAAAAAAAACTAAGAGATGTCAAGAGAATAAATAGGATAAAAAGATGGATCCCATACTGGAAATTGAGATTAAAGATGAGCTAAATAATAGTGTAGAGTTTGTGTTTCTTAGCAACCTGTAGATAAAAGCTGTAACCCAAATACACCAAGAGTGGAATGGAATTGTCCTAATATAGGAGAACAGATATGCACATACACTTAGGAAACTATCAATTACCCATTATTATTCATATCCATTATTACGCATTCAAAGCCTGCACTTGAACATACTCTATTTCACCTTCTGAGTGTGTGCAAAGGATACTTTCAGCTTGTGGGCAGACAGGACCTTTTGGGGCTTCTATCAAAAGGACATGAAAGAAAAGATCCCAAAGCAAAGTTCAGCCATTTTACCCTGCTAAGCTCCTAATGGTTTTCATCACACATGAATCGCAATTCTTGTTTGAGTAAGAAAGTTTAGTATCAGTTTCCTGGCCCAACATCCAGAGCCGCAGGGCAGCGCTCAGCAATTTGCCACTGGTTTTGATTCTTTTGAAGCTTATTGCTAAAAAAAAAACAAAAAAAAAACCATTGACCTGATGCTGACCAAAGTTATGTAGCTGGAATGAGCTTTAGGCCTCAATAAACGTTGCCTTTATTGAGATTTCCCCTTGATCTAAGTAGCCTCCAAGAACGACATTCACAATATGGCTTAATAACAGCATCCAGGATCAGGCAGACCACAGGAGAACATTCGCTTCCCAAACAATCTGAGGTTAGAAGGAAGAGACCATAAATCATGGATTTATTGGGATCTCCTTCTACCCTGAAGGAAATGCAGAAGATAGGAAGACTTATGTTGATCAACGCCAATATTCCAGAACAGGAATATTTTTGCTGCTAATTAGACTGGAGATGATGTTAAATATTGGATTTGCCAGGGAAGGAAGACCTGTATATTTGTTAACTAAGAGGAGGTGAAGAGATTATGAAATTGTTTACATTTATAGGAAGGTAGGAAATTACTTTCTTGGCGAGAAAAAAAATCTTTTTTAAGGAGGAGAAGGAGGAGGCCTAGGGCAGGGATAGGCCTTGGCTCTTTCATGAGTCGTGGACTTCAACTCCCAGAATTCCTGAGCCAGCCATGCTGAGGGGAAAGGGAGAGGTTTCCAAGCTGAGCTGTGCTGGCTCAGGAATTCTGGGAGTTGAAGTCCACAAGTCATAAAGCGGCCTAGGCCTAGGCCAGAGGTAGGCAACCTTGGCTCTTTTATGACTCGTGGACTTCAGCTCCCAGAATTCCTGAGCCAGCATGGCTCAGCATGGAAACCTCTCCCTTTCCCCTCAGCGTGGCTGGCTCAGGAATTCTGGGAGTTGAAGTCCACCAGTCATAAAAGAGCCAAAGTTGCCTACCCCTGACTATACTATCTCTTAACTATAGGCATAAAAGAGCCTACTCCTGGCCTAGGAGGAGGAGGATGGAAGGGAAAAGAAAGAGAAGGAGGAGAAGGAAAAGGAGGAGGAGAAATAATTGTGGTGGAGGAGGGGAGGGGTGAGATGGGGGGAGGAGAAGGAGAAGAAGAAGAAGGAGAAAGAGAAGGAGAAGGAGGAGAAGTAGGAGAAGGAGAAGAAGAAGGAGAAGATCACCACCAGTGACTTAGCAACTCTGAAAGACTCCAGAGCTGAAGTTGGGATGTTAAGTTCTTTTGACAGCTTCTCTTCACCGCAAGAAAAGCAAAATCACTCTCTTCACGGCTATTCAACTTTTCTATTCAACAATAAAAATCTTACGATGACACAGTCCCAGCAAAATACTACAATCCTATTGCTTATGAGTAAGCCCGGATGGAACGTACAATTATCCTTGGAACAGCTGATCTATTTATTAGATTTTCTATGGATTGCACAAGGCAAATTTCTCCTGTTTGTCTGCATTCCTTGTTCTGGATATGTTCCTTTTTCCATTTCGTTTTGTATCAGCACAGAACATAATTTCCTGAAGGTGACCATCTGAACTTCTTATACCTTTTATACCTTCCGAAACACCATAAAAAAAAAAACACCACCATTTTTTTTTTCATTTTTTACAGTGTGGAATTCGTTCAGTTGGAACTACAGAACACCATAGTTTTCAACAACCTCTAGGGCTAGGCATTATAAAAACATCTGGCTCTCTTGATCTTTAAGAAGTCTACTCATTAAATTCAGCGTAACTCTTAAAGCATCTGTAGCTTATTTCTAGCTTGTGGAAAAAAATCTGGAAAATCATAAAATACTAGAGAGAAGCTGGACTTGGGTGAGCGCCCAAAACACTTTCTTCAAGTTATTTTCAAAGCGTTCACCCTTACTAAAAAAATATGTAATGTTGTTATACACAACGTGCAAGTTACATATGGTCTTTTCTGATAAAGACCCCCTATCTTTTACTCATCAATCAAAGGAGACATCTTTCTAGAAACTAAATCCTCACCAAAAGTCAAATACAGGCAGACCTCAACTTACGACCACAATTGAGCCCAACATTTCTGTTGCTAAGTGAGACCGCTGTTAAGTGAGTTTTGCCCCATTTTATGACCTTCCTGGGCACACTTGTTAAGTGCATCATTGCAGTTGTTAAGTTAGTAACAGGGTTGTAAAAGTGAATCTGGCTTCTCCATTGAGTTTGCTTGCCAGAAGGTCACAAAAGGGGATCACGTGACCCCGGGACACTACGACCGTCATAAATCGGAGTCAATTGCCAAGCGTCCCAATTCTGATCGCATGACCATGGGGAATGCTGCAAGAGTCATAAGTGTGAAAAGACTAAACACACTTTTTTCAGTGCCGTTGTAACTTTTAATGGTCACAAGATAAGATAAATAACATAGGATAGGATAGGATAGGATAGGATAGGATAGGATAGGATAGGATAGGATAGGATGGGATGGGATGGGATGGGATGGGATGGGATGGGATGGGACGGGACGGGACAGGGTAGGGTAGGGTAGGGTAGGATAGGATATAAGTAGGATAGGGTAGGACAGGATAGGATGGTATGGGAGAGCATAGCATAGGATAGCATAGGATAGCATAACATAAACTTTATTGTCATTTTTTTATTGTGAGCACACTGTCCCACATTAAAATGAAATTCTGTTGCCTGCTCTAAAAAGTATATATCTACCCACACACATGCTGTATACATACATACATACATACATACATATATATGTGTGTGTATGTGTGTGCATGTGCGTGTGTGTATATATGTAGATAGATAGATAGATAGATAGATAGATAGATAGATAGATAGATGGATGGATGGATGGATGGATGGATGGATGGATGGATGGATGGATAGATAGATAGATAGTTAGAGAAACAGAGACAGAGACAGAGACAGGTACGTAGATGTAGATGTAGATATAGATATATACACACCTACACGTATATACATATAAATATTAATCACTGTCCATCTTGAATACATAGCGGAAAGAGGAAGCTTGAGATTTCACTGTATGGAAAACTGTGACTGAATCTGGAGGTTCTGCTTTGGATACCACGGAGTCCCCTCCTCCCAGAAGGGAACAAGGAAAACAGGTGGTGGAGAGGATGGGTAGCATCCCGACAATCCCGCAGACCCTACTCAAGCAATGCTTATGTACCATGTCCTGGAGAGAGTTTCTTCGTTAGGTCACAAAAGGGAATCACATGACTCTGAGACGCTGCAACCGTCATAAATATGAGTCAGTCGCCAAGCATCCAAATTTTGATCACATGACTCTGGGGATTCTGCAGCGGTCGTAAGGCTGAAAAATGGTCCTCAGTCACTCTTTCCAGTGAACAGTCACTAAATAGATTGCTGTAAGTCAAGGAATACCTGCACACGGATCAATTTATAATGCCTGTTCAGGTATGGCTTACAAAATAATAACAAATTATGAACCCCAACGAAAAGGCAAGGAGTGGGAAGAGAACAGACTACTCACAGGGGAAGAGCAGGCAGATGTTGATAGACTTCAAGCTTCTTTATCTGTTCAGTTGTTCAAGGTAACTTCATCCATACAAACAGAAGATCACTGGGAATGGGAGAAGAAGACAATTCAACTCAGGCCAAAAGAGACGTTTAAGTCGATCCTCGCATTTATAATTGTGACAGCATCCCCACAGTTACGTGATCAAAATTAAGATGTTTGGCAACCAGGATGTATTTACAACAGTTGTAAAACCAAAATCATGGCATCTGGCCCTCTCAATTCCTGGCAAATAGATGGGAAAGAAATGGAGGTAGTGACAGATTTTATCTTCCTGGGCTCCAAGATCACGGCAGATGGGGACTGCAGCCAAGAAATTAAAAGACACTTGCTTCTGGGGAGGAAAGCTATGGCAAATCTAGACAGCATACTAAAAAGCAGAGACATCACCCTGCCAACAAAAGTGCGTATAGTCAAGGCCGTGGTCTTTCCAGTTGCAATGTATGGCTGTGAAAGTTGGACCATAAGAAAGGCTGAGCGCCAAAGAATTGAGGCCTTTGAACTATGATGCTGGAGAAGACTCCTGCGAGTCCCTTGGACTGCAAGGCGTTCAAACCTAGAAGAGATCAACCCCGACTGCTCTTTAGAAGGCCAGATCCTGACGTTGAAACTCAAGTACTTTGGCCACCTAATGAGAAGGAAGGACTCACTAGAGAAGAGCCTAATGCTGGGAAAGATGGAGGGCAATAGAAGAAGGGGACGACAGAGAAGGAGGTGGCTGGATGGAGTCACTGAAGCAGTAGGTGTGAGCTTAAGTGGACTCCAGAAGATGGTAGAGGACACGATACCTGGAGGAACGTTGTCCATGGGGTCACAATGGGTCGGACACGACTTTGCAACTAACAACAACAAACGCCCCAGGGTTACGGGATCACCATTTACGACCTTTCCAGGCAAGTATCGACAAGCAAAGTCAATGGGGGAAGCTGGATTCGTTTAATGACCACATGATTTGCTTAACAACTGCCGTGATTCTATTAACAAGCACTGGGAAAAAAATCTCATAAAACCAGGACCCATTCTCTTAATAGCCGCCTTGTTTAACAACGGAATTTCTCTTCCCAATTATAGTCATAAATCGCGGACTGTCTATGAAGCTGGTCCTCCACTTATGACCACAATGGAGCCCAGAATTTATGTTGCCAAGTGAGAAATTTGTTAAGTGAGTGTTGCCCGATTTTACAACTTTTCTTGCCGTATTTGTTAACAGGATCGCGTGCAAGTTGTTAAATTAGTCACACGGTTGTTAAGTGAACCTGGCTGCTTGTCGGGAGGTCACAAAAGGGGATCACATGACACTGCAACCGTCATAAACATGAGTCAGTTGTCAAACACCTGAATGTAGATCATGTGACCGTGGGGTTGCTGGAACCCTCAGTCGTAAGTGTGAAAAACGGTCATAAATCACTTTTTTCAGCGCTGTTGTAACTTCGAACAGTCCCTCAATGAACTGCTGTAAATCGAGGACTACCGGTATATCATTGTTTTCCCAAATTTTTGTGCAACAGTAATCTTGCTGCAGTTATCATATATACAATATTAATTATTGATCAGGGGACTGGAGGCCAAAGCATATAAGGAACGGTTGCTGGAATTCGGCATGTCTAGTTTAATGAAGAGAAGGATGAGGGGGGCACATGGTAGCAGTATCTCAGGGGCTGCCCCAAAGAAGAGGGAGTCAAGCTATTCTCCAAAGCAGCTGAAGGCAGGACAGGAAGCAACGGATGGAAACTAATCAAGGAGAGAAGCAACCTAGAACTAAGGAGAAACTTCCTGACAGTTAGAACAATTAACCAGTGGAACAACCTGCCTCCAGAACCTGTCAATACTTCAACATTGGAAGTTTTGAAGAAGAGGTTGGACAATCATTTGTCTGAAATGGTATAGGGTTTCCTGCCTGAGCAGGGGGTTGGACTAGATGACCTCCAAGCTCCCTTCCAACTCTGTTATTCTATTCTATTCTATTCTATTCTATTCTAGTCTAGTCTAGTCTAGTCTAGTCTAGTCTAATCTAGTCTAGTCTAATCTAGTCTAGTCTAGTCTAATCTAGTCTATATTCTATTCTATTCCTTTTCTAATTATCATATGCAACACAAAGGGTTATCATATACAACATAAAATATTCCTTTTCTACTTCCACCTCTCCAAAACCCAGTTCTGTAAGAATAATTCACACTTGAAGGAGTTTCAATGCTGCTCGCCAGTATAAAAATAAAATAAAATCACAGCAACTAAAAACCAAAAAAAACCCAACAACAACCCAAAACCAAAAAAATGCCATTTCTTTAAGCACAATATATTTGTTGCCTGGAGTTTATTTCCCCTTGATGAAATTCAGATCTCTCCAGTCGAACCTACTTCCGTAACCCTAGCCTAAGCTGATACTTTATTTTTGTGCACCTTGACACAGTACATGATTATGGGGTTTAAACGCTGCCTTCTAAATCACAGTTTTTTAGAAAAGCACATAATTGGCAAATAACTGGTTCCCAGGAGGCAGACCACAAAAAGCCAAATGTCTTTTCTCAAGGACGGTGGAATTTAGAAGCTCCTGTACAGACATTGCAAACGGCAAGAAAACATAGTCGTCGCTCTAAATTTATTCAGTCTCCATTTGCCTCAAAAGTCAGTCTTCGATGTCTTTTGTTTTATTTTGCGAAGAAAGTACCTGTATTTCCCATAATACTTCTAAACAGGTACTCCTCGACTTACAATACTGTAGTTCATTTCGTGACCGTTCAAAATTACAACGGCACTGAAAAAAGGGACTTGATGACCATTTTCACACTTACAAGGTACAACCGTTGCAGCATTCCCGTGGTCACGTGATCAAAAATTCAGACGCTTGGCAAATGACTCACATCTGTGACCGTTGTAGTGACCTTCTGACAAGCAAAGTCAATGGAGAAGCCATGTTCACTTAACAACCAGGTTACCAATGGAACGAGTGCAGTGATTCACTTAATAACTGTGACGTTGTAATTTTAAATTCTGCGGTTTTAACCCTAGCTCATTCTTAAGAACAGAGGATTCATATGGATTCATTTTACCAGCTTAAGTCTTAAGGGTTTCTATCTGTCCCTCTAGAACAGGGGTAGGCAACCTTGGCTCTTTTATGACTCGTGGACTTCAACTCCCAGAATTCCTGAGCCAGGCACGCTGAGGGGAAAGGGAGAGGTTTCCAAGCTGAGCCATGCTGGCTCAGGAATTCTGGGAGTTGAAGTCCACCAGTCATAAAAGAGCCAAGGTTGCCTATCTCTGGCCTAGGCCGCTTTATGACTCGTGGGACTTCAACTCCCAGAATTCCTGAGCCAGCATGGCTCAGCTTGGAAACTCTCCCTTTCCCCTCAGCATGGCTGGCTCAGGAATTCGGGAGTTGAAGTCCACGAGTCAGAAAGCGGCCTAGGCAGGCCAGAAAGTAGGCAACCCTGGCTTTTTTATGACTCGTGGACTTCAACTCCCAGAATTCCTGAGCCAGCCATGCTGAGGGGAAAGGGAGAGGTTTCCAAGCTGAGCCATGCTGGCTCAGGAATTCTGGGAGTTGAAGTCCACGAGTCAGAAAGCAGCCTAGGCCTAGGCCAGAAGTAGGCAACCCTGGCTTTTTTATGACTCGTGGACTTCAACTCCCAGAATTCCTGAGCCAGCCACGCTGAGGGGAAAGGGAGAGGTTTCCAAGCTGAGCCATGCTGGCTCAGGAATTCTGGGAATTGAAGTCCACGAGTCATAAAACAGCCAAGGTTGCCTACCCCTGGCTCTAGAAACTAAAATTCTTTCTATGGAGATTCTCAGTTATCCAGGTCATGGTTGTCCCAAAGGTGTTTTTTCAAGAGGCAACTGGACTGTCTCGGTTTTCCCATGAAAACATTTCGCTTCTCATCCAAGAAGATTCTTCAGCTCTGACTGAGAACCGAAAAAGCTTCTTGGGTGAGAAGGGAAACATCTTCAAGGAAAAACTGAGAAAGTCCAGTTCTCTTTAAAAAGCACCTTTGGAACTAAAATCATTTCATCTGTCTGATCACTCTTTTTTCATTTCTGATGTTCTCAGGAGATGCAGGATTTTGTAGCGAGACACAGGACTTGATAACAATATTCCTTGCCAGTGCTAAAAATACGAAATGACAAGTTGGAAGTCTCTCTCTCTTTTTTTTTTTGTCTTGAACATCTGATTACTATCCCAGTGGTTGGTCAAATTGTTCCTTCTTTGAACACAAAAACTCAACCCCAGATTTTGCTTTTCTGCAGGAACATTTGGAATCTCTGTCTTTGCTTACAAACTGGAGATCAGACCTTGATCTCTTCCTGAATATAAACCAGTGGTTCTCAACCTTTTTAATGCCGCGACCCCCAACCGGTCGTAAGTCAAGGACTACTCAACTGGTCGTAAGTCGAGGACTACTCAACTGGTGCAGCACCGTTTGCAGAATGGGACTTTTGGTGGGCTCAGCATGGCAGAGACAGCCTGGACAATTCCTATTGGCTTTTGAAAGCCAATAGAATTAGACTCTATTCAAGAGAGTCTATTCTATTGGCTTTCAAAAGCCAATAGAATAAAAGGGAGTAGCACAGCTAAGGAAAAGGGGGAAAAAATGGCGGACTGCATTGTTTGGTGAACCCCGTGAAATGGTCGTTCAACCCCAAATGGGGTCCCGACCCACAGGTTGAGAACCACTGATATAAACCACCAAAAATTCAGCTCCTGCTTGAAATCCTTCAACATAGCCTCCCCAACCAGATATTCATTATATGTGCTAAAATACACTCCCGTTATCGATCACCAAGTAGCAATTAAATAGTCCAACACATCCAATAAGCTATTCCAGGAAGTGTCAGATTTAATTTTAAATAGTGTTCATAGGGCCTAAAAAAACCAATCAGCAGCAATGAACGCTGCTTGCCAAGTAATTAAAAAAATAATAATCTCCAAATAGAATATAGCAAGTTAAGTGTGATAAGTAATACTGTTTAAACACTTTAAAAAAAAAAACAAACTTGCACTTCAGTAGCTGATGCACCCAGCTGTGCACAAACTCAACACCATTTCTACA